TAATATTGATACAATACCGTTACCTGATCTACAGTCTAAATTACAATTTTATCAATTATTCCAATAATGTCCCTTCTAGCAACATCTTTTTCCCAGTCTAGTGTGTAATCTAGGATCATACATTGCATTTAGTTGTCATGTTTGTTTTGTCTCCTTTAATTGAAACAATTCTTCTTTATCTGTCTCTCATGATCTTGATATTTTTGAATAGTACAGAACAATTACTTTGTAGAATGTTCTTTAATTTTGGTTTCTCTGGTGTTTCATCATGATTAGATTCAGATATTGCATGGTTGGCAGAAATAACACAAAAGTGATACTGTGTCCTTCACAGTCCATCATATCAGGAGGCATTTGATGTTCATTTGCTTCATTATTAGTGATATTAACTTTGATAACTTGAATAAGGAGCTATCTTACCAGTATGAGCCAACATAAACGTACCATTATTAATTTGTAGTGAGTAAATAATTTGTGGGGAAATAGTTTGAGACAGTGCAAATAATCTGCTCCTCACCAAACCTGTACCCAGTATATTTTAGCATCTGTCAATGATTGTTGACTGAATCAATTATTACTATGATATTTGCAAAATGATGATTTTCTAACTCCATTATCCTTTCTACATTTATTACTGAGCATACTTATGTAAGGGATAACTTTCCTTCACCCCCCTTTATTAATTTGGTAGATTTAATTCTTATTTAATTCAAAAGGTTATAATGCATTGATCTCATTTTGAAATTTGATGCTCAAATGTTTCAAATTTGGCCGTTGGGAACTCACTCAAGCAGGCTCCATGAACTTAAAAAAATTTTTTTTAATTAATTAATTTATTTTTGGCTGCGTTGGGTCTTTGTTGCTGCGTGCGGGCTTTCTCTAGCTGTGGTGAGCGGGGGCTACTCTTCGTTGCGGTGCGCGGGCTTCTCATTGCTGTAGCTTCTCTTGCTGTGGAGCACAGGCTCTAGGCGCGCGGGCTTCAGTAGTTGTGGCTCGTGGGCTTAGTTGCTCCACGGCATGTGGGATATTCCCGAACCAGGGCTGAAACCCATGTGCCCTGCATTGGCAGGTGGATTCTTAACTACTGCGCCACCAGGGAAGTCCCTCCCATGAACTTTTAACATGCCCATAATTCTTTGAACATTTCTTTACTTTCTGGCACAGTAAGATATTCCAGGATCATCTTTTACTTTATCTGTCCCATCATTAGAATCAGTTGTTTTCTTTAAGGAGCCCTGGTTCCTTTTTGTGGAGATGGGTATTTACAAACTAAGATCTGGGTGCTAAGTGTGCTGATTTTCTACTGGAGTGCCATTATGTCTAGGCTCAGCTGGGCTAGGAAATCTTTATCTCTGCCTCTAATCGAGGAGTTCATATTGATGCTCCCAGATCTAATCTAACACCAGAAGGTTCATTTTAGTCTTTTTCCTTTCCATATTTGTACATCCTTTTTCCAAGTGACAAACTTGGCTCACATTATCCTCAGTATATTTACTCACTTGCCCAGGCTTAGATTCACAGAAAGTGTTTCAGAATTGCTAACCCTACCACTATAAAAAATCATACTGACTAACCAGTGTTCAATACTTGTTAAAAGATTTTTGTTTTCAAACTGTGGGTATATAATGAAAACTCTGTATTCAAAAGTAATTATTTTTCCCTCAGTGTTATTCATTTGAATTATAGGCTTATTCGTTTATATTCCATTTTTGGTTTCTTTCCCCTCCATCTCTGTTAATTTAACTTCATCATCTTCATCATCATCATTATTTTATGTATGTAAAGCATTAACATGCTTCCAAAACTCAAAATTACACAGAAATCTATAGTAAGAGGAGGGTCACTTCCCCTTTCTCACCCCCTGCACCTTAATGCACCCTTATTAGTTTCTGGCTCATTCTTCCTGAGTTTCTTTTTTTTAAAATACAAATAAATATATTTATATTATCTTATTTCCTCTTCTTTCTTACACAAACGTATCATACTATATATACCCTTTGGCACTTTGCTTTTATTGATTGACAGCAAATATATCCTGGAAATCACTCCATATCACATCTTCTATAGTTTTTATTTACAGTTGCATAATATACCATTGTGTGAATATACCATAGCTCATTCAACCAATCTCCTAAGTGTGTTTTTTCCCAGTATTTTTCAGTCACAAATAGTGATGTACTTTGTTCGTATGTTTTTTTTGTTTTGTTTTGTTTGTTTGTACATTCTTGAAGGTGTATCTTCAAGGTAAATGCTTAGATGCAATTCAAAAGGTAAACTCACTTGTGGTTTGTTACATATTGTCAAATTCTCCTCCCATAAAGGTGGGGGGACATTCCCACCATTAATGTATAAAACTCTCTTTCCTCATGGCTATGTCAAGAGAATGTGCTATCAAGCTTTGTAATTTTTATCACATATAATCATTGAGAAATGGTATCTCAGCATAGTTATAATTTGCAGTTATAATTTCCATTATAACTGAAGTTGTCCATCTTTTCATATGTTTAAAGGTCATTTAAAATCTTTATTTGTGAATTGTCTGTCTGTGACTTTTGTTTATTTTTCTATTGGGTTTTTGATCTTTTTCCTCCTTCAGTTTTAGAGTTCTTTATGTGTTGGGCCTTTTATCTGTGATGTATATTATTCATAGTTATTTTTAAATCTGTGTGAGTCTGTGGGACTCTTTTTATTTTATTTTATTAAAAAAAAATTCCTCTGTTCCTCTTTCCTGGTTGGCCTGGTATTTTGAAACTCAGAGTCTGGGGTCTTTGCCCTCCTCCCTGGCAGCTCTAAAAGCTCATTTTTGGGTTCTCAGTGCAATGAGACTCCTGTTTCCTCCTGAGATTTTAGTCGTGTACAGTTGCTTCTGCTGGTTTCTTTGTTTTCTCTGAGCATGTGCAGCTTGTGAGTCAGCAAAGTCCTTGAGGGGAATCTGCCCTATTAGGCTCACTTCTCTGCAGCTCACTTTCTCCAGGATGTTGGCCTTTCAGTTCTTGTCAACTCTTCCAACACAGCAAGACCACTGCAAGCTGTAGGTTGCTGTTACCTCTTCAGCCTTTATTCCCCATGTGGTGAATTGGCAAGTGCCCTGATGAGAAACAGCAGAGGCCAGTGTGTTACCCTGTCCCTGGGGGTACAGATTGTAGAGTCCTGCTGCTGTGATTTTTTTCCTCCAATGATCAAACAGCTCTTCTTTTATGTTTCATCTAGCTCCTGTAGTTGTTCTCAGACAGAGAGGTTATCCTGATACCGGTTATTCCATCATAGCTGGTATTCCATTCCAGTCATCTTTCCACTTAGCACATTTCATTAAATTTGTATGGAAATGAGAGAACACAGTCAAATTGACAAAGCATTTTAAAATTGACAAGGAAATTGGCCTGCTCGTACACTGCTGTGGAGGGTATGAATTGGTACCACCTTTCTGGAGGGCATTAATTTATATCAAGATCCGTAACAACTCACTTACCCTTTGACCCAGCAATTCTGCTTCTAAGTACTTATCCTAAGAAGATGATCGTGGATGTGTGCGAAGGTTTATCAAAATTCTCAATATGCAGCAAAAGAATATTTGAGAAATTTTGGTGCTTCAATATAATGGAATATAACAGAATCCAGCACTGCAAGTGATAGAAGAGAATATTTAAGCATATTTAGACACTCTCTCTATTTAACGTTAGAGAGTATTGTTAAGCACAGGAGATTACAAAACAACATGAGCAGTACGGTCCTATTTAAGAATGTGTACGTAGATACATAAATATAAGACTGGAATAATGCTCACAGAAGTGTCAATAGCTGGTATTGTTGGGTTGTTGGGGTTTTTTTCCCCTTTGTGCATAATCTAAACATTTTCCATAGGACATTACTTTTGTTCTAAAAGAAAACTAATGCACTTAAAAGAAAAAAACCTTAGAGTTGATAGGCCCAATTGATAATATTTTCTGGTAAACTTTATACTGTTTACCCAAACTCTATCTTTATGCCCTTGGTGATGTTACAGATTTTGTCAGAAACAGTACCCTCCTTGAAATACTTTGTGGAATAGAGCACCCCCATACAAATATACTTTAAATTCCTACTAGTCAAATTCAAACAAAGGCTTCACTTGCTTCTGTCAATGTGTGCCAAAGCCTTTTAAAATAAGGAGTCCTTTTAAAAAGTAAGGGGCTTCCCTGGTGGCACAGTGGTTAAGAATCCACCTGCCAGTGCAGGGGACACGGGTTTGATCCCTGGTCCGGGAAGATCTGCGGAGCAACCAAGCCTGTGCGTCACAACTACTGAGTCTGCTCTCTAAAGCCCGCGAGCCACAGCTACTGAGCCCATGTGCCACAACTACTGAAGCTCACATGCCTAGAGCCTGTGCTCCGCAACAAGAGAAGCCACCGCAATGAGAAGCCTGCGCACCACAAGGAAGAGTAGCCCCCCCGCTCGCCGCAGCTAGAGAAAGCCCGTGCGTAGCAACGAAGACCCAACGCAGCCAAAAATAAATAAATAAATAGGTTTGTGCAAGGACCTGGATTATCAGGGAAGATTTATTTCCTAGCAGAAAAAAAAAATCTAATTTCCTTTTTTAAAAATTTAATTAATTTATTTTTGGCTGCATTGGGTCTTGGTTGCTGCGCTTGGGCTTTCTCTAGTTGTGGCGAGCGGGGGCTGCTTTTCATTGCGGTGCTCAGGCTTCTCAGTGCGGTGGCTTCTCTTGCTGTGGAGCATGGGCTCTAGGCACGTGGGCTTCAGTAGTTGTGGCTCGTGGGCTCAGTAGTTGTGGCTTACGGGCCTAGTTGCTCTGTGGCATGTGGGATCTTCCCAGACCAGGGCTCGAACCCGTGTCCCATGCATTGGCAGGCAGATTCCTAACCACTGCACCACCAGGGAAGTCCCCTCTAATTTCGTTTTGAAACCAGTGGCCAAAATGTAATGCAATTGCTTTTGTAAAACTAAAATCAAGATTTCTGGAGACCATTCTTTCTTATCCCTTATTGCTTTTTTTCATGAAGGTACTCTCCAAGGCAGCAATTACCAGCCACGACCTTTTGGGTTTTGAGGCTGCTTCCTAGGAATGTCCGTTCCTTGGCTACATCATCAGAGAATCAGAGAGTTGAGGATTGCCACCAGCACCACGAGGCCTATGGGTACTTCTTGCTCATCCAGACGAGGTGGCAGACAATGACCAGTACGGCCGTGGGAACAATGCTGTGTACTACAGCTACTTAGGCACGATTATCAACCCGTACCCGATGAGGTAGGTGTGGGTTTTGCAGCCGCCATCCTCATGTCACCCCTCTGGCATGCTCTCTGGTGGGAGTTCATGCAGGGGATTCCTCTAGTGTTTCTGCTAGTACACCTCCTTTGTTGAGCCAGATTATTCTGGAGAACAGCAGGACCGATAGGTTAGTGAGGATAGTGTCCTGCTGCTTCTGCAGTTGCAGGTGTTTGTCTGTCTTGGTCCTTTGCACTAAATTGTCAGTAAAGGTGCAAGCTTTGAGTCTCAATTAAACAACTACACAACAAGCTACATAATATTCAAACCCTGAAGTTTGAGCAGACAGTAACTTCAGCCCTCAAGACCTTTTTGTGAGAAAAGCAGCTGCTTCCCCCACCAAGGGCGCATAAGGGGGAGGAGAGAGAGTAAAGATGTTTATGATAGCCTCTGAATGCCGTGACGACACAGTTGCCATCGGAGGTGTGTTTGCAAGATTGGTTACTGTACGTTTGGTTAATATAATTGTCTGTGTGAAAGATTGAGCTGCACAGAGAGATCTGTGTAAATCCCAGCTCCACCTTGCATTAACTGTGCAGTTTGGATCAAATTATTTAACCTATTGCATCTTTTGTAAAAATAACTTGCATTTATTGAGAGCTCTCTCTTTGTTTGGCACTGTAAAGCCTTTACACAGCCTTTCTTGTTTAATCCTAAAACAACTTGATGAGAGAGTAGCAGATTGTTGGTCCACTGCCCAAACCTCCTTGCCTGTAACTTTCGGGGCACACTGGTCTGACCATCCGCTGTCAGCACCAGCATTTCTTTGCCTAAGGACTTCCTCTGGCCACCAGAGCCGCTTTGGCCGGGCAGGCCAGAAGTGCAAGGAATCAATGTTCCCCAAAAGCAACCTTCAGTCACTGACTGATGGGAGTTAGTGTATGAATACCCCAGCTTCCTTACCTCTTGGATGAGATAACTCTGAGCTGCACACTGTAATACAGGCTCCCAGCCTTCCCTAGTGGGATTAGGCTCCAGGTCCCAGAGTGGTAGCTTTCAAAAATGGAGATAAAATTTACGTAACACAAAACCTACTATTTTATCCATTTTAAGTGTACAATTCGGTGGCTCTTAGTATATTCGCAATGTTGTGTAGCCATCACCACTACCTAATTCCAGAACATTTCCATCACCCCCCAAAAGAAGCCCCCTACCTGTTAATAGTCACTCAGTTCCCCTCTCCTCCCATCCTCTGGCAACCTTTCTGTCTCTATAGATGTGTCAATTCTGGACATTTCGTATAAATGGAATCATAGTATATATAATCCTTTGTGTCTGGCTTCTTTCACTCAGCATGATGTTTTCAGGGTTGGTCCACGTTGCAGCTTGTGTTTTTCTTATGGCCAAATACTATTCTGTTGTATGGATAAGCCATATTTTGTTTACTCATTTGTCATTTGATGGACATTTGGGTTGTTCCCACTTTTTGGCTATTATGAATAATGCTGCTATAAATATTTGTATACAAGTTTTTGTGTGGACATGTGTTCAGTTCTTTTGGGTGTGTACCTAGAGTGGAATTGCTTGAGTCATATGGTAACTTTATATTTAACTTTTTGAGTAACCATCAACAGTAACCATCACTGTTTTCCACAGTGACTGTGCCATTTATATTCCTACCAGCCGTGTCTGAGGATTTCAGTTTCTCCACAACTTGTAATTATTTATCTGTTTGCTTATCGTCATCCTGGTGTGTATGAAGTGGTATCTCATTTTGATTTTCATTTGCATTTCCCTGATGACTAATGATGTTGAGCATCTTTTCACATGCTTATTGGTCTTTGGTACATCTTCTTTGGAAACATACCTATTCAAATCCTTTCTCCATTTTTCAACTGGGTTATTTGTATTTTTATTGTTAGGTTGTAAGAGTTCTTTATATATTCTGGATACTAGACCCTTATCATAGAATATGATTTACAAATACTTTCCCCTGGAGATCCAGATGGTGGAGTAGAGGGAGGTGGAGCTCACTCCCTCCCACAAATAAATCAAAAATACGTCTACATGTGGAACAATTCTCACAGAATACCTACTGAAAGCTGGCAGAAGATTTCATACAAGCAAAGGTGCAAGAAAAGATCCTCATGTCACTGGGTAGGATGAAGGGAAAAGGGAGAAGAAGACAAATACTTTCTCCCATTCTGTAGGTTTTTCCACTTTCTTGCTAGTGTCCTTTGACACACACAAGCTTTTAATTTTGATGACAGTGGTAACTTTTTGAATAGCAAATGCTTTATTGGCTACTTTCCCTTCCTGTCCCTTCCTCATTTCTGCAGGAGCACTTCACCTAAAAGAAGTACCTTATAGTTCTCACATTGCATATTTACTGTGTGAGGGAAATTAAATTTTTTTTTCTTCGAAAGGATGTGTTTTCACTTGAAGAGTGCCTCATTCTCTTGGATGCTATGTGGTCCTGAATTGTCACACTAATTTTACTTTTTGTGCACCTGTCAGTGATTCCTCTAGAAGTAGCTTGTACTTGCTTACTTATGAATAATAAACCGTCTTTTTCAGCACTCATGATAGCTTTTAGGAGAATGTGTGCTTTATACTTTGAAATCCACAGCAGGAGGTAAAAACAGTATTTGAGGCTATTTGTAATTTCACATCATTTGTCATAGGGAAACTTGACAATGAATTTTCCCAGTTCGCTCCAGGGCTACTTACTCTTTTCTAAGGAAGGATCAGCCTTGTAATTTCTTTGGATTGACTCTCAGTTGTATTGCAGTTGAGACCTAGTGGTGTGTCTTAGTCAGTTTGGGCTGCTATAATAGAAATTTAAACTGTAAACCACTGTAAATTGGTGGTTTAAACAATAGAAATTTACTTCTCACCATTCTGGAAGCTGGGAAGCCCAGATCAGGGTACCAGCATGGTTGAGTTCTGGGGAGGGCCCTCTTCTTGGTTTGCAGACAGCTGCCTTCTTGCTGTATCCTCACATGGCCGAGGGAAGAGAAATCGAGCCACCCTCATGACCTCTTCTAAATCTGATTACCTCCCAAAGACTCTACCTCCTAATACCATTCCATCAAAGGGTAGGGTTTCAATATATGATCTGGGGGGAACAGAGACATGTGTGCAGTCCACAACATGGCTTTTGTGACTTTTGAAGTCTTCCATTTGTAAATGGGGCTTCTAGAAAGTCAATGTGCAGTTAATGATTGAGTCCTTTATCCAGTGGAGGTTGTGTCTGTGTGGTCTCAGTTTGTTGTAAACCGTTTCATCCAAGGTCTGCTTCTGCCAATTTTGGGGGTAGGGTTGGGGGTTGGCAGCATGTAAGGAAGAATTTCTGCCAGAATAGTGTCCTGTTTCATGTAGAATCCTCCAGGTATTACACATTGACTCCAAAACTGTGAAAATACCCTAACTATTGTGGTCAGGGACTTCCTGATCATGACAAAAAAATGAGTTAACCTTTATACGTTTTCTAAGAGATCTGAGGATTGTTTAATAGGTTGCTCACTGACTGTCAAAAGGCAAGCCAGCAGCATATAGAGGCGTGAGGACACTGAGAAGACCAGCCAGGGAGAGGCAGCCTCATTTCACCAGTGTGGGCCAATGTGAGGAAGGCAGCTGGTCAGGTGGAAGCAATGCATCCCGGCCTGGCTTGCACACTCGCCTCCTTCCACTTGGCTTTCTAAGGATAGGTGGCACTGTACAGGTGCCAAACACCATGGGATAATCAATGAGCAACATCCTTGTCTAGAAGATTCCCTCTTTGGGGGGGCGGGGGTTTCTCTGGTCGAGGGAACCAGGGAGTAATGGAGGGCGTGGCAGGGGAGGGAGAGAAAGACAGCAGAAGAGGCCACGGACTGCCCAAAGTTCCCATCACTTTGACACGCGGAAGGGGTTAAGTCATTCTCGAACAGTTTATCGCTCACCAATTGTAATTAAATATGTTTATATTAAATTATGTTCTGTAATTAATGTAAAATCCTTTAGCCTATGCTGTTATTAGAACCAGATGCTGAAGTACCAACAATATTTCAACATGACTGTGCTGCCTCGCCAGCTGTCTAACTGTAATTACTTTAATCTCAGCTTGTTATCTAATTATCACCTTTGTAAAGGGAAAAGTACTCTCTAATGCTTACTGATTGTTTCAGATGATGATGAAGAGCGGGGAACAGCTGTCAGAGATCGTGGGCCCTGCTTATCACAAAGAAGGAACTTATCCTGAGATCTGTTCTGGGCCAAACTGCTGAAAAAAGATGTCCCAGGCAGGAACTGGGGACTAGTCAGTAAGGGGAGACAGTTGGTGTGGTAGTTAAGGGTCTGGCCCCTGTGGATAAACTGTCAGGTGACATCTGCCTCCTCCAGTGATGGCTGGGGGACAAGTTACTTAGTCTGTTTAAGACTTAGTTGCCTCGTCTGTAACATGGAGACAGTAATAATACTAAAATCTACCTCGAGGATTCCTGGGGAGATTAAATGAGATAAAACATATGAAGCCATAGCAGTGCCTGACAAAATGTCCATACTTAGTAAATGTTAACTATTTTTTCTTTTTGAAAAAAATCAATGTTGGTTTTCCACATTTCCATCTAAGCCAAATCTGAAACAACTGAAATGGGTATCTAAATGCCAGCGGCTTGGCACTACCAGTTGGTTTTCCAAATTATCTTTAAGTCTGTCCTTTGGGGACTGAAATTCACCTTTGCATTGCTTATTCAAAAATGGTTCACCCAACCAGTGTAGATAAGTATTGTCAGGAAAATCTCTTGAGGGGGAATAAACCATTTTGGAGTATTCTTCAGTACTTTATGCATGTACTTTCATGTCAGCAGTTGATGTGGTAACTGTAGTTCATTCCAAAATAATCATTAAAGCAGATTCTCTTAGGATGTTTATTGAGCTTCTAATATCCTCCAAGCTTTACCTCTCAGGGCTGCACTCCCATCAGAGGGGAGCTGGCAGCCTCTCTCTGCTGTGGAATAGCACGTCCATCTCCCCAGTTAGACTGTGAGCCCCTTGAGGGC